CCACCCCCCACCCACCACCCACCCACCACCCACCACCACCACCCACCACCTTACATATGGCCGACACCAGGTGCTGTCTCTCGCGCTTGGTGAACTCCGCGTCGGTCTTCATTGGGTAAGCCGAACGGCAGGTCTACGGGATCAAGACCGCGTCGTCGAGCCACGCGCCTGAGGCTTTGCTTCCGTAGCAGGGGCCGCCTTAGTCACGGGGATTATAATCCCCTCCCCAATAAGCAATGCTGGTCCTCTTGCCTTTTCTTCGTCCGAATCATCCTGCCTGCTGACCCGGGCCTTGGGCGCCTATGGTAACTTTGATTCCAATATCCATCTGACTGAGTATGCAATACAACCAGAACACGCCAGCCTCGCGAGCCGGCATCATGAGCCAACATCATCGTCATCGCAGGTCCCGTCTTCCATTTCGACTCCAAACACACGCCCTTGTTGAAGCCTGAACATGCGGCCGATTCTGCCCCAACACGCAGCCTAGTCCACAGGTTGGTGGTACCAGCGGAGGGGTTCCCTTTCCCCCCCACCCCTTTTGCAACCTAAAGGGGTGCAAGAACTCGGCTAGCTCGCGAAGGGGAGCTTTCATGACAAGATTGGAGATTCAGCTGTACCAATTGTAGGTAACGGTGTGCCGGGTTGGCTGTTACTCTAGCCCAACCCAGCCCAAGCTATCAGCCCACAACATCGTAGCCCAAGCTGCCGTCACAGGCTGCGCAGCTCGCAGCTCGAGTGAAGCGACCTGAGAATTCTACCACGAATACCCCCACCACTCACCACCACCAAATGGTCAAGTCCGGCACTTGAAAAGAGAGGCCCTGCAGGGGATCAATACCAGCGTGCGCTTCTCATCTCGGTTGTCGTGCCAACGAGCCTCCAATCTAAGCGCTGGCCGCAAACCAGCCATCGACTACAAGGGAGGCTTCCTGCTCGATAATTATTTGGAAAACTTCTCAAGAAGGACGCGGGAAGGGGCTTCTCAAGTAATTTGAGAAGAAGGCTTACGACGTTGTTATACGTGGAAAGTCTGCATTTCAGGCTACAAAGGAAAGGGCCATGCAACACTAAGTCATGCCTCAGAAATGCTGGAAACTTGGCCACAGACTGCTCAATCATTCCTAACACTCGCACAACATGGCATGAAGGCAGGCTTGTTGAAGAGCCGGCAAGAAACGGACATGGTACTTCTTGGGAGCTGAAACAGCCGATGAAGAAACGCATTCGACTCCGACATACTGAATACGCGCCCTTTTCTTAGCAATGAGGTCGCCGGGTCCTTCCAACATCGGAGCCATTCACAAGAAGAGATGCCGTCCCCGCCGCCACAAAGTCCGTGAGCCGAGTTGCTGTGAGGCTCGGCTCACTGCGCATCCCCATCATCTCCTTTCGAACTCCGGGCATCAAAAGGATCTACACGCATGGCCCCACCTTTGCAAGATGCGCCTCCATCAAACCTTCGAAGTCATTGCGGACGCCACAGGCTGTGTATGAAGTACCCACGGAGAGGCCTTCAGACGAGATTCAATCAGGCACCAAACAGCCAGCCTGAACTGTTCAAGCAAAGCTCTCCAGAGTGCCCAAAAGTGGCCGGGACGGACAGCCCACCAGCCAAAGCAGCCGCTCTGTTCGGCCTGGTGCGGAAATTCACCGAAGTTCGTTGTGCCCCGCTCATATGAACCAATGTTAGGGCACTCCAGTGCAGACACTCCCTCTCCTCTGCAACTGACTCTTGGTGAAGTTCTCGAGCTGCAGCTAGCCAGAGCGGCTCCTGCGGCTGTGCGCAAAACGGCTTCAGGCAGCGGAAAGGGCAACACTGGCGACTTCTGGCGAACTCCATGCACTATGAGTTTTCTATAAGTCTAGGAAATAGGACTATCATATATTATATTCAACTCAATTATTTTAATTATTCTTATTCTTTGTCATATATTCTATACATATAGATTCTAGAAATCTACATAAAAAAAGAGTTCTCCTCACAACTTCGTACGACTTCTTATATCAACATTTCATAATGTTTATATATTAAAAATGTTCTTAGATTTGCAGTTCCATTTTTCTGGCTTTATTTGTTGAGGTTCGTTATTATAAACAGTTGGAAATTTCTTAATGTATCTTGTTCTTTTTGTCCGGTATATTTCATCATTATATATTCGCAAATTCCCATTTTTTGATATAACAATATCACTACCATCTGTTCAAATCCTCCCTTTCATAAGAATATATTTTCATTTCATTTTAATCATCTCCTTTGTCATTAAGAATACTATTTATTTCATTTTAAAAACTACACATATATATATATTCATTTATTTATTTATAATCATAACATTAATATCATTACGAATATTCTATTTTCAATAAATATAACAAAAATATTCGTAGCCTATATTAACAAAAAAGCTCTTAAAACTCTAAAACTGTTCATAGTCATAAACCTTATTCTGTTATTTTCGAAAGTCATGAGCAATATATTCGAATCTATTTCGGTTTAATTCTTCACTGTTCATATTTCAATTAGAAATATTTTCATTAAAACTGGAAATATTCATATAAGCCATCAACCTCTATAGTTCTATGCTCAAAAATTTACGAGAAAAACTTCTGATAATATAATCTTACAGCATTTGATTTCGTAATTTATTATTACCTGTCCTTAGCACCATTATCATAATCATGAACCAATATAACTACTCATGACATATTAGGTGACCAGTAGAAAATATAAATGGATCAAACATATACGAAATTTTGGGAGAGATCTTATCACATAGCAATTAATCCAAACTTGAATTAAAATATTCTATTGATCCAATATTCGCCCAGATGCCACATAGAGCCCGAATCGATTACGTCATGATCTGTAGATACTGTAGATATCGCGGTTAGGTTTCTTGGATTTGTTTCATCTCCTTTCTATTTCAACTGGTCGCTCTGAAGATATTCTGCATGTCGTACGCTATTCCACACTCTGCAGCTGTGTCCGTTTGCTTGTCGTTCGCATCGGTGCTATAGGCCGCACGGCCCCAAGGGGAGCTCAAAGATCTGACGGACGTCTTCAGTCTTCACTGAGACTCGCCGATAATTACTAAACCGCATCTTCCGTGCTGTAGGATGCATTAGGCTTCGCAGTCAATCTGCAAATTCATTCCCCATCCTCCAGTCTGGTCAGTGCGTCTCGCACAGACTCTGCTGCCAGATGAAGTGATGGCAAACGCATCTCCCCAACCGCCGTCAGTGTTCAGGCGCATGCCATGATTGCCAGCCCAGGAAGCGCAAAGCACGGACTTGCTCGCGGTTACGCACTTGCTGTTATGGCTGCTTGATCCGATGTTGACCCTCACAACTTCCCGGGCGACACCAAAGTCTTTGCAATGGATCTGCAGGTTCAAGCCCCAACCTGCCGGCAGAAAGCTTCAGCTTCCCCCGCTTCATTAAGACAGCAATCAAGGGTGCGTTCAGAGCGCAGCTGAAGAACTGCTAGACTTATGCATCCATTCACTAGCCAATCACGACCTCACCTAACCCATAGCCCTCCTTAGCTTTATTTCTAGGGTAGTCCTGTAATCAGTCTGTGTATCCTTGGGGCTTTCCCAAAGTGTCCCAAAACGTAGGTCCTTTTCACCTCTCACTTTCACATTTCCCTATGAACTAAATGCTTCAAGAATCACACCAGATACTATTCTTGACCCTCTCTTCCTGCGGTGCCTTTTCGTTCCCCAAAACGCCTGCAAGATTTTCATAGTCACGCAAATTCAGCTTCTGGGGACATATGTATAGTTTTCTCGCCAATGGCGTAAAGCACTGTCGATGACGAGGTGGTGCAATTGTAGATGCCGTGAAGGAAGCAGCCAAATACAAAGCAGTAGTACCAGAAGCTATAAACCGCGGCACTGAGGTCGCTATATGAAGAGCTGTTTGTTTAAAGAAATGATGACAACTAGTTGCAGAAAGCAAAGCAGACAAGAACAAGACAAGACCTCATACCACAAGCTATTCAAGTCTTCATGCATCACAAGCACAAGAACAGCAGTGGATAATAACAGCAACCACAAACGGCAAGTCTGCCCCCAACAGGAGAAAGTCTAGATGATGTCGGATATAGACCCAGGACAGCATCAAAGCAGAAGGCTGGTCAACGATGCAAGACTAGGAGACAATATTGCTTGTCATGAAGGGCAACGAAAAGGTCAGGGTGTAAATGGCTATAAACGTCGGGACTAATGCCTGTTATTCAGTGAAAACCCGAACCACCTTTTGATGAAGAAGGATTTGAACATACATCGAGAATGATATAGAGAATGATTAGATTCTAATCATAGAAAAGCGGCAAGCAGAAGCAGAAGCCCAGCCCGGAAGAAAACGCAAGCTTCCGCGTCATGCAACCATGTGTTCATGATGCTCATGCTATGCTGCTATACCGGCTTCACAAACCGGGCCTAAGAGGGGACCGGCTCGGGCTCGAGTTGCAATTTTGAATTTCAACTGACCCCTTAATGAGGCTGAAAAATCTCAAAATAAACCCCTCCGATAAGACGGTATCGACCCCGGAGTCCTAAGAAAATTCAACTAGCCCCAGTTACACTCATAGGAAGGAGAATGGGGGGCTCATTACTGCTCGGGCAGGCTCATACTCAGAGTTTGTGCTCATCTCTGATGCTGCGGGTCTTCTTGGCCTCCGGCCTCATCTCCAATAAGGCTCATGTATGTGCGACAGCGGAACACCCTCGTGGCTTTGCCACTGTACGACTACTGTGCCATGATATTGCTGTGCCCCAAAACCCCCAGACGAGGTTTGCTACCTTAACCGGGTTCCAGGTTCTTGGGGATACTTATGATCCTTGACGACCTTGATAGCGAAGGTGCGGGGACCCCCCTTTTGTTCATCCGGTTCTAGATTCAACAAGGCGAACCTTCTTAAAGAATAGCATCGGCATTTACACATACGGTGATGAACTCTTACCATTGTACCGGATGGAATGAAACAGCCACACACTGTGACATGTGTGATGTCCGTTGACGATTCGGTATGTGAGAGATGTGGAGGTAGAGTACCAAGCGAATCCAACAAAGCCCAACACTTCAAGACTGCGCACAAATCAAGGCCCAGTCAGGAAGAAGAGTGACCAAAGTTTGAAAAGGTAGGAAAATCTTGTAGGCTGGAAAAGAAACCGATGTTACCATTCTGTCATTCATATTTTCATATTAACTAAGGGTGCAAGATGGCTTTGGAAAACAAATATCGGGATTTGGAGCATGGGAACGGATCGGCTCAAGAACTTAGCGAAGAAGAAGACATTGGATAGGTTATGTCCCTGGCAGAGGTCAGGCCTTGTCCCAAGAGGCAGCCGCACAACGAAAGGAATAATATGGATCTACAGTATGTTGCATTTAATACCTGCTAACACTTTCAGGTTGATTTATGACTAGTTCAATGACGCGTAAACTTTCAAGAACTAATTGTCGATGAATAGAAAAGACTTCGTGTCTGTTTATGGTGCTGTTATGGAAGGCATCAACAGTCTATTTACAGCAAGCATGAACGTCAACTGAACGGCAGACCTATTTCAGACATATTGCAACACCACACCATTCCAATGTAGACAAGAGCCCTGTGAAACAGCAGAGAAGATGAAAGGCAATGGAGCAGCGCAAACGAAAGAGGTTTGGACGATGATTTCGTATAAATTACCTAACAATCGACAATGGTTTATTCACCAAAGCGAGGGCACCCAATGAGTGACATGACGATGAATATGCTGTAAGTAATATGCTGTAAGTGCCAAGTCCTAGTGGGTAATGAAGACCAAGTACGCTCTTGACGGAAATATGAAAAAGCTGAAGAAGGGGATGAGGCCAAGGCTTTGGCCAAAGCGACACAGGGGTATACGAGTGGAAAGAAACTCAAGGCAGCGGAGTGCAAGAACTTATACATCTACAGGGTTACACGAGATATGATGCTGAACAAATGTTCGGAGGTTGAGGGGTTGGGCGAATGGTTCAAAAGCACGAAATGTTGATTGCTGCCTAAAGCAACTACTTAACGACGCAGAATCACGACGTTCTAGAGGGTACATGACCAGTCCCAGCTCGGATCGCCAGTGTGAATGCAGCAGCTTCTGTCTGACCGTGAGTCAAAGATTCAATCGACTTGCCTAATAAGAGCATAATCAATAATGTCGTGTTGCTGCCACGGTGTTTCAAATCTTGGGGAATGTATGCAAGCGATTCCTTCGACAATTGGCCGTTTACTATACACATCCCGATCGGATAAGAAACCGCTCATGAACGACTGTGCTAGTAAGTCTGAGACGGATTGAAAGAGGATGTAAAAACTATTGGTGGTGATACACATAGCTGTATGACTGAGCACCTTAAACCTTAAACGTTGGTTTCGTTTGAGAAACCGTGTGCAACGTGTACTTTGCATGCAAGTATGGATGATATGGCATACAGCCTTTTCTCATCAGAAGCTAGAGCAAATAGCAACAGATGCCTCAATGCTTACAGGAAGATCTGATAAGAGCCGGATAAGCCTTTGCAGAACACAGTCTGGAGGTAAAAAGCACCGGCTGTGCCAGAATTTCAGTTGTAATGCTTTGGGTCTGGAACTTGGGGAAGATGTTGCCAAGCACCGTGTGCTGAAATTTTAGGCATTGACAACACTCCCGGAAAGTAGGAAGGTGTGGTTCGGCAGTCAAGCAAGTTCTACGGTAAATGACGGATGGAAGGACAAAAAGCATGACAAAACAAACGATGTAGCAGATGATGTACAAGACAGTTAAGAGGAACACTAGACATGAAACAAAGGAGGCTGGCTAGTGATAGCGGGGTGAAGACCGATGCATGAGTAAGGCTAACAACAACCCTTTGTCCATATTCCGTACAGACCCCCTATGTCATGTACTGTTTGTCCCCCACCCTCGGCACAATCCTAAGCAGTCTCGAAAACGCACAACCACCCCCGACGGGCACCTTGGTGATGATCAAGGCGGCGGGCGCACACCCAGCCGCCGTTCACGCTGACAAAAAACCTGTTTCCGCAATTGCGGCAATCATCGTTCACACGATTTGCATCATCCCCCGCGCTCGCATCGCATTCATACGTCTGCGGTACCAGAACGCATTTGGTGTTGGCATAGCTGTGGCCGATATGGACAGTTCTCACGGTGTAATCCACGGGAGCGCCGTTCGTGGGCTCGCACTCCAGCTGCAAGTTCATGCCCCAGCCTCTACAGGGACTGTCAGGGTGGAACCACGACCCCAACATGCCACCAAATCTTGCAAGACACGCAAACCAAAAACTCTGACATTTGAAGAAGTAAAAACATGTCAGTTTGGGTCAAACCCAGGCAGAGGTTTCTGACGGACAAGGCAACATTGCTGGTGTGTTTGCGGTTGAGGGCATGTCGGGCACTGTTAAGCACCGTGAAAATCTTGGCTCTGAAGCAGCGAATAGCTTGACGATGGCACTATGCAACAAGCTGTTGGATATGGATATAATGGGTCTTGTCATCTTCGCAGGTACAAGGCTTGGCATCCAAACCTTCTGATTGGCCGTTGCTACACCATACGGTGGCCACCTGCACAAAATGAGGACGAAAGGGACTCCATCCTTGCATGTCCCAGCAAGTTTCACACACACACACACAAACACACAGGCACACATGACGCACGTGGCGGCCGGACCACTCGCACAGCTTTCACTTACCGTTCGGCTGTATGGCATGCTGGCTCCGAAGGTTTTTTGCTATGAGGCACCGAAGGATTTTGCCTGCCTCGATGATAAGCAACATACAGCACCCCTACATTGCAAAGCGTCACAAGCGTGAGCAGTTGAGCGAGCCTGGCTTACGATGTGCTGACTTACTTGAAGCTTCGTTAGGCTCCCCCTGGGCAAACGCACAGGTGTGCTGATCCAGACACATGGATACACTCGGGAAAACCGAGACATGGCGCTATGATGGAACCCCGCATTGCTTCGCAGGTGGGATCACGGTGCTGGCCTCCGTGGTGATCGTCGCGTCGGGCACAAATCCTGGCGATCTCTGCATTTGTTGGGGTTTGTGTGCCAGTGCAGCAAAAGCCTACGACACTCTCGCCCACAGAAGCAGGTCTGTAGACCTGCAAGGTTTTCTGGATGAAGATGCTTAGAAACACGAAAGGCAGACATGGTCTCCAAGCTGAACTGATGAAAGTCTGTCTATGTCCCCGTTGCCGAAACTCGCACCTCTCGCCCGAGCCGTAAATCCAGAAGTCGTCGTTGACAACCTCAAAGCCCATCCGCAGGTCTTTGTCCCCCGCATTGTTTTTGCAGCTTACCTGATGGTGTCTCTGCAGGAACATAAAGCCATAACATCCACAAGACGAGCTGCCAACGTCATGAAAAGTGAACTCTTGAGCATAAGGCAGTCCTGGTGCGGGCTCATCGGGAAGCACGCATTTTGTTCTAGTGCTACTGGAGCCGATGGGAACAATCACGCCGAGGTTAGAGTTGTCCACCCTGCATGCGACTTCCAAGTTCATGGCCCAACCATGTTGGTCATGTACTGCGTCTTCGCGTCGGACGCACAAGGATCGAGAAGTGATGGGGTAAAGCAATGTGGGCCGCCAAATCCCGATTTGGTCATTGGCATCGCGCCAGTCCTCGTTGACACGATAGCCTTTCCTGCCCGCGTGAGCTTCGCAGTTGACGCCAGAGAAAGCCCTCGCAGCTGCAAGCTCAACAAAAACACCCCACGCTTCCGGATCTACTGGTCTCAGAAACTACCTATACCGACTTCATGGTCATACATGTACATGACAAGGAAAGAAACCCAAGTTTGCGGTCAGCCTGCCGCACTTGTATGAAGAATGCGGTGAAGGGCCAATGTGGACGATTGTGACGCCAGCCTTGTTCATGGCGAGCTTCCTGGAATTATCTTTCTCCGCAAAACCAAATGACAGGACTTGCACCCATTTGCCGATTTCACCGAGGAGGGGGACCCTGATGCCCATGAGCACTTCCACGCTGAGGCCTATGCTCGTAACCCCACGGGCATCGTACATGTCTTTCAGGCAACGGTACTCCCCCGCTGCACCTTTGGTCCCACAGTAGTTGGTCACCGCCCCGGTCAAGTCGCCAAGGTTCAAGTTGGCCGACAACGTGGCTCGCACACCCAGAGGCATGGGTAGCGGAATTGGCAGGTTGATCGTCAGGTGGAGCTTGTTGATGAACGGGTAATAGCTTACACTGCCCAATTCCTTGCAAGTGCTCCATCCCATCGTATCTGCTGCCTCGCCAAGGACTCCGCCAATACACATCTCGACTGATGCGAACAAGTTGAACGAGCTGAACAACCTCAGACGGGTCGAGTCTAGCCAAACTGTCAGACTGTGCTTCCTCTCGTGGTAATGAGGGATTCCCTCGCTCTATTTTCCTCGAGGCAACTTGAGTACATCCGGCCCGTGCTTCAGGTTTTGCTTGCGCCAAACTGTCTCCTAACGCGTCAAAGGAGCGCTGCTTGGTTGCCGCATGCCCCGTCCACCCCGAGGTTTAGCTTGAACTGAATTGGGTCGCCTCAGCTTGAACAGAGCATTGGCACAAAAGACAACGGGCGCCCCAAGCCCCAAGCAAAACAGGTTCCCCAGAGGACAGCCCCATCAACAAGGGACTCACTGTCAAACCTCGTGTATGGAGCAACGTGAAGTGAATGAACCTTGACTGCTCTGCTGCTTTGCCGAACGTTGTCCCTATGCGCTCAACCGCAAGCCTTCAAAACCCCAATCCCAAAGCCAAAACCCTCAAACTCGCCAAGAGCACCGGGTTTGACTCCCATGCAAGGTGTGCAGGTGCCCGTCATGCAAGCGCTCTTGAAGTTCAACAACTCCTTGATGGCAGCGAAGACATCCAAAGAAGAGCCTCCGCGGTTCAGGGTACAGGGTACTTTTGCACCAGGACTCTCTCAAAGTGCCCTGGAAACCCCATAACCGCTGAGGCACCTCCTGGCTCGATGCAGTTCCCGTTCACACAGAGGGAGCAAGACACCTTGGCAGCTCCAAGGTCTCTCTAGGAACCCTTTCCGCTTCAGGCGTGTGCGTTTTCAAGTCCTACAGAGGTGTCGAAGTTGCTGACCAAGAATTGAGCCCCCCCCGTCTAGCCTCGCACTGCCAAAGGCAAAGCCTTTCGCTTCCAGATGCCCCCAGATGCCACTAGCCTTTTTTGAAGTGTTGCCTTCTGCATGGAACTTGGGGTAACTGCCAACTATAACCCTGCGGCCCTGCCCCTAAACCCTAAACCCTAAGCGGCCAAGGTACGGCCTCCGTCTTGCCCTTTGAATCTTGGCAGGGGCCAAGCCCGACGGGCTTCCCGGTCCCAGTGTCCTAAGGTTCGGGCGCTGGGGCTCTGGAGGTCGAAGCATCTAAGGATGTAGGGTTTAGGGGTTTAGGATTTAGGGTTTAGGCATCTAAGTCTGCAAAGGACCGCCCTGGGACTGTGCCAAAGCGAGCGAACCGAAGCGCGATCTGACGGGTGCACAAGAGATCTGTCTCTTAAGGTTGCGGCGAAAGGCGGTTCAAGAAAACTGATGTGATGTTGTTTTTCCTTGTGGCTGCGGGAAGATCTGGCCTTTGAGCATTTTTGAAGAAGCTTTGAAGGCGTTTCAGCTTGTCTTGTTGGCTGCCTTTTGGGGACGGACTTCGCCTCGGTTAGAGAGCATTCCGGAAGAACTGTTGTGGAACCGAAGGATTCCGGAGGCGGGCTGAAGTACATGGAAGCCATGTTGGGATAGGATTCTGGAACCCAAGCGGTTCCGAGAAGGCTCGGTCAAAGCTAGAAAGCTCTCAAGAAGACTTCCAAAAGCGTTGAAAGGCCTCCAAAGCGCCACGAAAGTTAAAACACAAACTGGCCAAGTCATGGAAGTGAAACCTATTCAGGAAGCCTGCAATTCAGCGAAGGATCCAATTGCAGTAAAGAGTGGAATCGCTGCCCCACCTCCTGGTGACTAGCCCTGCGGGCTCGGGGGTCTAACGTCATTTTAGCTTTCAGAGGGTTTAGGGACGAGTCGTCAGATCTGCATCAGTGAGGTTGGTTTCTGATTCTGAGGATCAACGTAACAGGAAGAATCGCAACGTTCCTCCATCTTCCTCTGGACCTGTGGTCGGATCTTCGCCAGGGGCTCCGAGTGCTCGGCATCGCAAACAAGCGCCGGCTTTCGCTTGGTACCTTGTTGGGCGGGGGCTTCAACTTCAGGGAACAGGAGAACCCAGCACCCTCAAAACCCCAAATCTGCGCCCATCGAAGGGGCAAAGGCATTCCGCATAGGCCTGAATCTCTGGGCTTTGGATGATCCAATGCTCCGGCTGCGCAGAGGCCAACTCCGCATTCCTGGGATGTGGGGTGGGTTTGGGCTCTCTCAACTTCGGCTGCAGTTTGGACACTCGCGACTCGGACTGGTATTTGGGTCTTCGGAGGGCTTTTGAGGGGATTAGGGATTTTGCTTTAGGAAACACTTGCCAACCGCCGCGGGGGTCATGTCACAGTACTTGTCCATAGACTGCCCATGGGCCTTCTCGTAATAGGTGCGATCAAGGTATCGAAGTCGGGCCATCCTCGCACGGTTCTCCTTAGTTTGTTCCGGCGTGAGGAAGGCCACTGCTCTGGGAAACTGGCCTGGGACAAAGATGCCCGTACCCTTCCGAAGACTAGCTGCCAAATGACTCAGTATGCTTTGAAACAGTGGTCGACAGTCTTAGATTTTGAGGCACCTAGTTGGGAAGATATGATACGGTTGAGGCTGCCCAAGCATCCGCATGGAACATGCTGGCGTTATGGATCAACGTCTCCATCGAGACAGCCGCGATGGTGGACCGAGTGGCTGGGTGGAGTCTGGACAGGCACAACGGTGGCACCCAGCCGACTAAATGCACGCAAGCACAAGCACACAAACTTACAACCCAAAAGAGCATTACTTGAACTCAGGCGCTGTTGGGCGAAATGATGCGCAAGGTTGTTGTGCTCATCATGTAGCACCAAAGCACTCTTGGCATAGTAGTCAAACTTGGACAACTGCTTGTTGACATGAACGGATGTGGATGCGAGCATCAGCGCGTTGCACTCCGACGTGTTATCTCCAAAGCTGCCCACGAAGAAATCGATATCCAGAACTTCGGATTGGCAAAGGCCCTGAACATACAAGGCGATGTCCATGGCCACTTCTGCCTCCTCAAACAACATGTGGCCAGACTCAGCAGAGTTCAGGATAACGCTCTCAATTGAGGTAATGGAGGTTTCATTTGCCACGGTGCCGTTGGAGCACATGTGCACCATTTTGGCAATCTTCTTTGTGAAGTGCTCAATGGCATGGTGGCTCAAGTTATGGCCAGAGAGAGCTTCCATGGTCTCTGCCTCAAACTCTTGCCTTACCAGCACTTCGGCAGCATCGTGTCCTGCCATCTGTGCCGCAGATATCATTTCGGCGTCATCAGAGTAGCCATCACCCAGAACCGTGACACTCAAGTTCGCACGAACCAGCCTAGATAGTATCTCGGCTACACGCACGAACTCCAAGCGATCAAGAGTGGCAGGGTCGCCAGCAGCTGCTTGCCTACGTGGCTCCAGACAAGCATCCACTGCTGCAATGATGTTCAAGGAAGCTTGTGTGGTGTTGGTAGAATGGTTGCCCCTGCTTGCCGTGTCGTTTGAACTGTTGCTTGACAATTGATCCTCCTCCACCCGAATCCTGGAGTGATGGGACAACTGCACGTGCAACAGCGCAGTGCTCCCTGCCTCTTGAGGTGCACATGTCTCTTTCCCACGCACCGTGAGGACCAGCATGGTAAACGAAACCAGGGCAATAGGCACCAGTGCCGCCGACCAAGCCATGCCAGCGACAGCGATGCTCTATAGCAACTTGCGGTAAGTTCTAGGAAAATTATGGGCTTCAGCCAAAAGCTTGCCAAAAGCAGGTCGAAGTGCTGCGGCAGCCCTTTTCTGCAGCAGAAATCCTGATCGTCGCCACAAGTTTACGAGAACAGTTGGCTCACCCAAATGGGCACGGAGCTTTGGCCTCTGCAATGTACCAACACTTGCAACGTTGAGTTTTCCTGTCTGATGTCAATTGAGGTGCCACAGCTTCTGGAAAATGATCACTGGATTTTGGATATCAGAAGACACGGAAAATTGCGTTGCACTAATGCCAAAAACGAGGAGTTCACCTAAAAATCTCGATTTTCCCAGCCCATGATCAAGAAGAAGCTTCCCCCACCTCTTTGTCATGAAGGTGATTTGGACAACAGAGTACACAGCAATTCCTGCTTGTGGGGAGTCCACCTCCATTCTACCGGACCATTCAATAACCAGCAAGGTCTGCACTGACAACCCAAATGCTTCGTGACATGCCCATAGTCATGCCTTCTTCGCGTTTCTAGCATTGCCTAGCGGTCCTAGCATCCGCCAAGCCTGAGAAGGGAAAACGTGCATAAATCACCCGCCAGACAAAACGTAGTAGCTTAGCAGCAGCAGCAGCAGCAGGAGGAGGAGGAGGAGGAGTAGTAGTAGTAGTGGTAGTGGTCGTGGTCGTGGTCGTGGTAGCGGTGGTGGTAGTAGCCGTAGTAGCGAAAGAAGCATCACTCGGAGGCGACCTGTTTTACTTAGTGAACCCCTGAGAGGGTCACATTACAGGGTGCGGTAGGCTTAGCTGTTTGTACCCGGTTACTGGCTCCCCCTCGCCAACCCGCAGCCCGGTAACTAATTGATTTTCATACCAGATATGGCCCGAAGTCGCTTGTTGATCGACCTGAACACTAGAGTCACTAGAGAAGAGGAGGTTTGTAAACGACAACTCTCGCAAGCTCCAAAGAGCTAGCTTTCGTGATTTTTTACGCGGTGCCCACTGTATGCAGCCGGAAGGTCAAGATCTTCGACTTTGCGGAGAAACTGCCCCTTGGTGCCGGTTCCTGCTGCAAGCTTCCATCCTGAGCTCTGGCTTGACAGTATCATCACTGACTCACCTGGCTGTTCAACTCGACATGCGGAGCTGAACCAAGCCCGGAGTAGTCTAGACACGGCGGGATGTTTTCTCACATTGGCTCGACCTCTTGGCCATCAATCACCTGTCTGAGCTGAGCGGCTGTCCCTTTGGCTGTCCTGGGACACGCAAAGAGTACACAAAATATCGGAAGCAAGCATTCCCTCGCCGGATTTTCTTGGTAACCCGTCCTCTCGATCTGCAGGTATCTTGGCAGACACAGCCTTAGCCCGGCTTGAGGTGCCACTGTCGGCTCTGGCCCAGGCTGCCATGGCGTTGGGGCCAACTGTGCGCAATCCACGCCTTCAGCCGGCACGTGCCGAAAGCACAGACTGCCTTGAAACATCACCTGGTGACTGGTGACTAGTAGACTACGTTGACCTCGGCTTCCCCCACAGTGGATGCCAAGCTTCCGTTTGGCGCCACCACCACTTGCAGCTCCTCGCCATCTGCCACGTGCAATGCAATATCGGAGGCTCGGCACGCCCAAGGCACGGAAACCAGGAGCTTGTGCAGAGTCGGCTTGTGCTGTGAAGGCCCGGTACAGCCGCGCGGCCCAGAATCAGGCGCCGGGAGGACCGGATAGCCCAAGTTGCTTGTGAGGGTGCTGTGCAGTCTACTCTCTGCATCTCGAACGTAACAGTGAAGGTAGAGCTCGTCATCCAAGTCAGGGATACAGAAAGGGGAGCCAAGCGCACACCTCCAGCCCGGCACTTTGCGGGCATGGCTTCGTAGAAGCGTACCATTGTTTGAAACCTGACTGCAGCATGAAAGGCCTTGAATCGTCATCGTAGTCTTTGCATTCACCCCTGCTGGCCTCCGGAAGTTCAATGATACCCTTAAGCAGCAGCAAAAAAGCAGCAAGAAATCCTTTATTGCTAAAGTCTCCGTGTAAGAGCACACAGGAACCGTCCTCCAGCCGCTAGCGCTCGGCAAGCTTCCAACAGCATCTCGTGAGAGTCGTGTGCTTTCAGAGCGTCGAAGCCTCAAGATTAACGCAGCATCCATAGATGGCATGCACTGCTGCTATTGATGCGGGAATACCGAACTGTGAAGCCCCCCTGATTAATTATGCTACAGTATAGGCCCGCCGTTGTCCGAACCGTCTTTACGCTGCAGCGATTCGATGGCCCACTCGTCCGGCCCAGCTCAACATACTCATCATACTCAACGGAGCCGACCCCTATCAGACCCGATGATCACAACTTTTCCCTGAACTGGGATGGGTTCCCATCCAGCTTTTTCAATAACTCCAACCATCTAAGGGCCGCCCGGTTCAACAGTCTTGCCATCTGCTCCCATACTACAACATGCTAAGTGCGCCGCTTCTTCGATTGATCCAAGAAACAGCCCTTGTCCAGAACGGCATCGAAGATCCCCGAACGCAGGGGCAGCACCCGTGCGTCAAGCGTGGCGAAGTCGGGGGCCCCGGATCTGGCAGCCGCGGCGGCTTCGGCAGTCGCCGCAGGAGAGAAGTCTGTCCCCAAAGCTGCGAAGCCGCTGCTTGCAAGGCCGGGCACCAGGGAGAAGTTGCCACAGCCCAGCTCCAAGACGAGGGCAGGTGGAGCCAGAGCCAGGGGGCCGAGGATGCCATCTGGATCACAGAGGTGACGCTTTAGCTCAGGCCAGCCGAGATACCACTCCGGCGCTCCGAGTTGATTCCGATATCGCTGCTCCCAATACTCCTGCCTCGAGTAGTGCGGAAGGCTGCTGTTGTCCGCCGTCGCCTTCGAACTCCAAGTATGTGTGACATCGTTGAGAACAACAGAGAACAATGAGTTAAAAACGCCCGGGTGCCTCCGTGGTGGGCATCCGACCCTTCCGGGCTCTGCCGGACCATATCTGGCTGCTGTAAACAGCTTGCACAACGGCAACATAGGGCAACTACGTCTGTGGTGATGTCAGGTTCAGGTGCAGAAAAATAGACTCCTACACTCTGCGAGGTATCGTGAGATGTCGGGAGCCGCTCCTTCTTTCTGCAGTGTGTGTACTGTAGGCCCTCCTTCGATGAGGCGCTACAGCGGGCCGGGGCAGTGCAGACCGTCTGGCTTAAAGCAGAGATGGCACATCAGTGTGACGCCTGGCAACACGCATTGTGTCTGGAGCTGACAGGTGATGTCACTGCACATGCCCACGAAAGTCATCCTCAAAGTCTAGGGAAGGAATCGTGAACAGGCACGTGGGCTTTTGTCATCTTCGCCAGCTTCTCTCTCCTCCGAACTCCACTCTTAATGGCCCACCGCCGTTGCGCAGCCCAGGGAGCCTCGCAGGTTCCCCCGTCTGCAGAACATGCTGCGAGGCGTACAATCGTGTGCTGAACTCCGTCCCTCTGCAAAGATCTCCGGCCTTTGTGAGGCGTCCTGCCCGACCACGCAGTACCTCTGCAGCTGAAGCTTGCTACTTCGAGGAGTTAAGCTAACATCTCTGACAAACCTTGTCGGCCCGGCTTGCTCCTTTGAGGTTTTGATTATGTTTCACCGCCTCGACCACCTCCACTTCCATGAATTCTGATGAAGTTACATGCGGTCAGAGCCTGGAAACTGAGCCCCGGCAAGCTACGGCAGTTTGGCCAACGAGGTTGGTTCTTTGGGCATGTCAGCGGCCTCCTGAGCCTTTGAATGATCGACGAAGCTAAGGCATCCGACCCTTCCTTTGAAGCCGGGCCACTCGAGGCATGCGCCGCGCGACGGACACCTCGAAGGGGGCTTGCACGCTGCCGGAGCGGAGCGCCTCCCAGGGCTCCGCAGAAGCTTTTTTCAACAAAAGTCCGATGCCTCGATGTCCTTCTCTTGGCTCCTTGCTTAACGAAGGCTTCAGCCGAAGGTTGCTTCAAGTTTGCAGGACGCCATCTTGACGGATGACTATCTAGTCCACCTCGAAGATTGGAAAACGATGCAGCTTAAACTCCCGAAGGATCTCGAAGGATCTCGGCTCACCTCCTGGAAATCGATGTACGTTTTGCTTAGCGATTAGCTCGCTTTGGCAAAGCCGCGTACCTCGATGAGGCCGCTGGCATGGCGATGCTCCACGTCCACGGCCCAACCACCTTCTACCCGGGCCACACGGCCCACCTTTGCCTCAGTGGGTCGTCAAAACATGCTACTGTACCTTGTCAAACAAGACATTCATACCCTCGTGCAGCCCAGTCTCCAGCTTGGGCATCATGGACCCAACCTTTCACAGTTGCAGTGCCAATTGCACATGATGAGTCGAAGATTCCACCAGCATGTGGCATGCTGCATGCTGTTAATCGTTGCCTGTTGGCTGGGCCAGGAAAAACAAGCTGCCGTCCAGACAAGGACATGGAGCTTCCATTTGCCGGATTTGTTCTGTTACATCTGCCAAGGAGCGATTCGCTGGACTTCACCCTCGGTGGTCGCCACCAGGTGTTCCGGATCGTTGGCCAACAAACCTGAACAAGCGTAGGCAAATCTCGGCAGGCCGTGGGCAGTGACAGGCTCGGACAGGCTGACAGTGGGAATTGGTTCGCTCCGTGTTCTGACGAGCAGCAAACGAACCCACGGCGCCCGCTGAAGATCGAGGGACGATCACGGAGCGCCTGACGTAACCAAGGGCGTAAAAGCACCTTCACTCCACTTGCCCAAGCGGGCCCCCACGTTCCCCACCCACCCCCGAGCCAGAGCCTGCTGGAGGTCTGCATGGCGACTATCAAGGACAGCCATAGCCTCGAGTCGCACGTGTCAGCTACCGTGGTGCTACCAGCACTCTTGTTGGAGAGACGCAGGGAGTTGCGCAGAGAAGGAAACGTAACACATGCTGATCAGACATAAGGCCCGGCCACTGGAGAACACGTTGCACAGGCTCCCCGTAACCCCACCCCGAACAACTGCCACGA